CGTAAAAGTGAATAGCCAAAAGTAATCAATCAATATCGCAAAAATCGCTTCTGCATAGGGAATGAATTGCAACGCTCAATGCATTTGTTTTTTGCAGAGCCAGTATCCATTAGTGTGTGAGCGAACCATCGATCAAAAACACAATTCCAATTTACCTATCGGCCACAAATTCTTCAAAACGACTGTCCGATCTCGCACAAATAAAGATAAAAAATAAATTGCCGTTAGCGGTTTGGAGTACTACCGCGGTACGCGTTGTCTGTGATAGCTGTGTAATAAAGGCCTGCATATAAAATACCTCATATTTGCATAATCAAATAACATACTTGATATTTATTTAGCGATAGAGTGAATTAGAACTTTCGCTAAATATGTTTGATTACTTCGGATAGTGTAGTTCATTATAGAGTTTTATTTAAAGACTGTTATTATTGCCTTTAAACTTTATTCGACGCTTGGCCGCCAATGGCTGTCTTTCACAATGCCAATTGAAGCGTGAGGCTTATTAGTAATTATTATTTAGTTAACACGGAAGCTGCGCCAACGCTGTCTGGCCTCAATCACTTATTGATTAGTTGTGCTTGAGAAGCATCGTCGGTTCTCACACGCAATAATCCAACACTGAATGTGAAATGGATTGTAAGTAATTGATAGATAATAAAATGTGGTACCTACATGCCACTGATGAGCCTCCGTACCAGAGAATCAAGCTGCTTTGTTAGTGGTTTATTTCTAACACCATCATATGGAATAACGCAATATTAATTTGATAAAATGATTTTTTTTTTGGTTAATACTTTGCTGCGGGTATATCATTGCATTCTCTCGTGACTTCCATAAATAAAGCCGGCTAAGGTACTAATCTAAAAATGTTTACATATAGTCTAGATAGTTAACATTGCAATGTATCTATGATAATATGAATTTGTTAATACAGATACTGATAACAGCATACAAATATACTAGTAATACGAGTCATGTTACGTTTGTTACGTCAGAGGCAATATTACTTTGTCAAAATGTAATACTATTTCTTCCTTAACACAATAATTGTTCGAAACTTCTTTTTCATTTTCTATAGTATAAAAATACATATGTGTGGTCTGAACAATTTAAGATTTTACGTCTTTTAAATTCAAGAAGTATTGTAACTCAACATATATACAACGATATAAAAAAAAACAAATGTTAAAGTGGCTTTTCATATACTCTTACTGATTTCAGTGTTTATTTTAAAATAAAGAACTGCAAAGAATACCTAATTTCAAGTCTATTAAGACAGTAATGTGTGAGATAAGCAAACATGACAAAGATCTTACCATTAACACCAAAGCGGATCGGGGGGAATCTCTCCTTCAACAATCAGTATTTTGTTATTACGGACACTGAAATCTTCCTTCAAGTTTCCTTTTGTTACAGAGCAGTTACAGAAAGCTATATAAAATACTAACATAAGTTTGAAAAGGGCTATAATTCTAGAACACGATCGTTAAGGTGGGCACACCATCTATTAGCGGTCGGCGTTCTGGTAGCGACAAATCGCGGCGACTATTAACTGAAGCAAAGGGTGCGATAAGTCGTTGGTGACAAATGACGGCGGCTAACGCGTCGCTCTACTCGTAATGATGTTGCCTTTGCGTGATTTCCACTCTTTGCCTTCACGGAAAATGTCTGCATTTTTTCTTTAGAACTCAATTATCTTTACCGACTTTTTGTTAGAAATTCTGCTCAATTTCTAACGGTCTTCCCAAGCTCTATTAATTGTTCAAGGAATTTTTTTTCTATCTCTCTCTCATATAAAATTCACTCACAACTTGGACTTAGGTAGGTTGGACGTAGGACCAAAATATTTATATTTTTCCTAAATAGGTCGCAAAACAACTATGATAATACTATATATGCATTTATCTATGATTTGCCATAAAACTTCTTGTTTATTGGCAGCAGGTACAAAGTACGCGAGCCATTGTAATATCAATTTCCCGGTCACGTTTTCTCCGGTTAAACTTTCTTTGTCGGCTAGATAACACGTATGATTTATTTTTACATATTGACAGCCTCTTGAATTGCTCTTCCGACATGAGTTTTAAGACAGAAGTGCTTCATGAATTGCTATTTCCAATGCAGAATGTACTTATTCGTTGATTGTTTGCTTTAATAGAAATATACAAAACAACGTTTATTTCCATAGAACAAATACACTATACGAAACAACAAAGGTGAAAAATAAATCAAACGTAGATATTTTTAAGTTTTACGTTTTAAATCTCAGTTTTCTAGAATATTCATTAGAATTTACTATTAATGTCGTTTACGTGCAATTATAAGCTTTAATAAAAAACACGATTCACAGATGACTAAATTATTTACTTATAAAAGGCATTAAAGTTACCCAATTTTTGATGTTTACCTTCGCGATAATACCTAACTAGCAATATGGCTTTGCTTAGCTATAGAAGTTATTTAGCATAATCTCAAGTACGATTGATAGCATTATTTTTCATTCGACTAATTAGTCACATTGTGTTGGCTATACTTACAACAGTATTTATGTGGTCTGTGCTTACAACCACCACTAGCAACACACCAAAGAAACTTCGTATTTCTCTATTCATTCTGTTTAATTACCTGGAAACAACATGGCCGACATGTTAAGATGTATTTATTCGTCGCCGCCACTGAAAGCGCATTATCTCTATCAAGCCATTACAGAGCTCTCTTGTGAAAAATAATAGATATTCACATAATTATCCCGACCCTCCTCACCCGAGCGAGACGGGAATAATATTACAGCCATATGTTAAAAAAAGAGACAGATATACTTCTCGCGGTTTGTTTGCGAGCACTTAAGTAATTGAATACAGGGGGCTCGGGTAAGTCGGGGCATAAAGGAAGACTAGAAAATAATAATATAAGTAATAATGTTTCTGGCGTCGCGCGAAAGGGTCGCAACTTGTTCAGTAGGCTCGTAAATATAATAATAAACATACGTCACGGTGTTTTCCCGACTTGTACCTAAGATAACTAATAGGGAACAATGCTCTTCAGATGATGAGCAAAGAATTTATAAGAATAGGTTATTTGTATAACTGCACAAAATACAGTTATGCTGAAAAGAAGGAAGCTGTCTTTATAATTAAAATTAAAATTTATTAATAATTAGTTTTTCATTTACAATGAGGGTAGGTATGCATACTATATATACGATATAATAATTAGAATTTTAAACAAATCAAACCGTCGTTACCAATTTATTATTTTCACTTTATGATGGTCGTATTCAGTTATTTTAAACGAAATCTTGTTTGTAGATATGTAATGTTGACACACTTTGCAGTTGCGGAGTACGTTTATTGTATAATGTATTAAACATGTTGTTTTCTGCACATCAGTTATTCCGTAATAAAACCAAATGGTCCAATGATAATGCGTATAACTTATGATGCCTTGTTTTGTTCACGCTCTGATTTTTTATTGCTATCTCGCGACTGAATTGAGTTGCTAGCTTTATTTTTATGTTTGGTTGTAGATGAAACAAAATATTTATTATTATTTTCAATACTTACTCCCTTATCCTTTACTCCCTCAAAGAAAAGCAAAACAGTAAAGAAAACGAGAACTAATCTTATCCTATATTAACCTTTTGGATACTGCCTATTATGTTAAAATTGCACGCTGAATTTCAATTCTATACATGATTAATTACTGCCAATCTGCACGAAAACTCATAATAACGAATAATTCGCTGTAAAATTTATCTCTTGCTATAAAAATCGTATAACATCGATCATTATAACCCAATTTGGTACATTCACATCTAAACTGCAACATTAGATTTATACTGAATTACACCTACTAACGGCGGAGCGATTAAAGTAAGGCAGCTTATGGAGTATTTATGATACTGCGATCCCGCGCTCAACATGAAGACCCTAATTAATATATACGCCAAGTTGCCAGAGCCATCAAAATATCGTTACAGGCGCTGTTACAACACTAATCCCTCAGTTTGGACGCGCTCTCGGTAAGGAACAATGTGTTAAGGATTTATTAAAGAACCGAATGAACTTGCTTTTTCTTACAAAATATTTATAGAGTTTTCACATTTCTAAAATCACCATTAAGTTAGCTTTGTCAATTAGTAAGAGTTACAGTATCTTTATTACTTCGGTTCTATGTTTTTATACTTGTTAGGTCAATTTACATGCGTACATACATCGCATTTTATTAAAATTATACTCGCACTAGACTGTTATATAATTGTACTTACAGTACATAAAAATTTGCCGCAAATAGACTCTACGAGCCGTCGATCGACCAACGATAAAGATTTCAAGTGCCAACCCCGACATCTGTTCCTTCAGCATAATATTCAGGAAAATCGACGAGCTCAACTCGAGCCTCCACTCTAATCATGAAAATGTATTTATGACCTAATTAAACTCGTGACTTCCGGACGGCGGCAGCCGCATGACCAAGACGCACCTAGCGTCTCTCCATGCGCAAAAGCGAGATAGAAAACTCCCCGTTCCTGTGATTAATGAGTGTTATATGGCTGGTTAAGTACCGTGTAATTTGCAAAACGACCCTTAATTACCGTAGAACATGGCTACTATCGCTATCCTTATCTTACCCAAAGGTTTCACTCGAGAGCGAGTGAGACACGTATAAGTTTGTGTTCCGACTTAAAGGCGGTATTTAATGAGGCATTATGATGTCGCTCTTGCAGATTAGGTTCACATGGCGCTGAAAATTGTTTACCCGCTCTTTATATTTGGCTTTCAGAAAAGCAAACATTGGGCATAAATTCAGTAGCGTATTTTCAGATGCACAATGGCTGTTTTAAATGTTTTCTCACTACTTGTTTGATTACGACGCAAAAACAGTTTAACTTATAAATTTTCGAAATCTGTAAACTATCAAAAATACTCTATAGTATAGTTAGTACTAAATATATCTCGAAAGAATTGAACTATAAATCAAATATTGTTGTTCCGCAGGTATGGTTCCAAAACAGGAGAACGAAGTGGCGAAAAAAGCATGCAGCCGAAATGGCCACTGCAAAACGCAAACAAGAGGAATTGGGTGAGGAATGTGACGATGCGGAGCCGCACGATAACGAGGCGTGCAGCGATGATGACGAGGCGAAGCGGCCGAGGCTCGAGCTGCACCACCAGCACCTGCCTCATCACGCTCTGCCGCATCACCGCCAGTGATCGCGTGCACCCGGTGCAGCCGACGAGCCCGCACCCACCCAATTTCCGCGCAAGTTCGACGCTTGTGCCAGTGATAAACGTGAAGTGAAAGACCCTAAAGAACTAGACGTCGACACTGATACTAACAAAGACAGTGCTACCGCTCTCAACCTGGATAATGACCACAACGTAGATTACTACAGTAAAGGATTTGTCAATTACAAGGACGTTTCTCGAAACGAAAAATTCCAGTTTAACTACACACGGCCTAGTTTCAGCAATAGCAACATGGGTAGTCAGCACGGTGATCGCAATCTCGAGTCCAATGTCAATAATAGTTACTATTTCAATATGAATGAAATCTATCCTGATTATTTGGTTCCACGATCCTTTTGCAAGGAGCCGAGCAGTGAGGACGCACCCTGTGATCTGTCCAACTGGCAGTTACGAGGGCTGAACAAGTTTGAACAGAGTATGGCTGAAACCGATCGAGAGATTGCGAACACAAGCGGATCGGTTGAGAGCGAACACGACATGCTGAACAGTGAGCACAATGCTGACGACAATGTTCAACAACCAATAAACTTCGCGTACTACCACTTCTAATGGACTATTACGAAAGCACTATGTGAGAGTTGTATTTTTAATTAATTTGTAAATAATTATCTACCATTTAACTAAGTAGTCATGTCGTATATAATAAGTAATTTATTATAATTAGATTTTACATGGTAATATTACGTAGGGATTTGTGACATTGATTAAAATGTACATTTTGCAGGATATTTCTCTGGGTGTCTAACTCTTCGTGCCAATTTTCCGGTAGGTAGTATTTAAATTTTCTATTTGGACTGCACACACAATTCCTACTTCTTATTCTGATTTCCCTAACTTCCTTGAACACGAACCTACCTGTAATACTTATTTTATTCTAAACCATTGTGTTTTATGTAAATATTAGTTATATCAAAAGACGTCACGAAAAGTATTTAACGTTAGCGCTATCGAAGCGTAATGCAATATGTATTGTACATTATATGTCTTAGTACATAAGCGATGGATTGTAAATAAATATTTAAACGAATTTAACAATTTTATTATAATTATAACTACCAGTAGTAATGACCACGCCATAGATCTTATACTATTACTGGTGTGATAATAATTCAGTCAAACGCAAGAGTCTAAAACGTATTTACTTAAAAATTTAACTTTCATCCTGGATGTAGAAAAACACAGTCTTCAGTGAAGTTTTTTTCTTAAATGCGTTTGACTGGAATTTTAAACGGAAAATTTTGAAATAATCTATCTAAAGCCAATGTAAGAATTTGTTAAAATATTTACCATAGATGGTAATATGATATAGTAAAAGAGCTTCAACAAAGGAAATATCGCTTGTTCGCACAAAGTTGAAACTGTAAACAATTGCTTCGTGATAAAAAGAAATGTAATAATAAATCCACCAATTTAGACAATAGAAACGATACTTCTACTTCTTTATAATTATTTAAAACATACTTAGGTAAATGAGCGTGGAAATCTACATACGTGGTTGAAATAAACAGTTAGTAAAAACTTACGTTGTGTTTTATTACTGTTTTGAAATGAAAATTTCTTTAGCACGTTCTTTCTTTTTTATTCTTTACGGCTTTTTTATCTAAGAGCCTTCTTTCCTCCTTCTAAATTTACTTCTACCTACTTGTCTTGATTATTTTTGTACGAACATGAGCACGATCTTATAACACCGAATAAAGAAATAACATCTTTTTTACTATAGGTCGAATTCAACTTATTGCCACATTTAGTATACTAACGATTCTCTTTATCAGCAGAAGGTAATTGCCATAACGATTATCGAGACAACCGACCCTTATTGTAGGTACTACTCGAGCATAAATACTTTTACATAGAGAGTGATCAGAAAAACCTTTGAAGGTAATCGAAGGAAGCACCCGGGCAAAAATCGTGATGCTCGCCCCTCGTTACCATGGCAACCAACGAAATCTCGACCGAAAGAGTAACTTACCAAAAAATGACTGTAACCGCTGAAAATAGAGTTCAGTTTCCAGAAAAATTGAACACAAGGCGATTCTGTGGCGTCGCTTGCGAATGTGGCTTGTAGTTATAAATGTAAAACAGCGTTTTACTGTTCCATGTCGGAGAGAGACGGGGAACGCGAAAATATACGGTAGAGGAGGATGAGTGTGTTCTTGGGAGGGATGGGGGTTATCAGGGAGGTATTCTTTCATTTGTTGTGGCTCGGAGGTTCGAAGCGATAAGGTGCGGCGTCTACCTTTTATTTATGACTCCATTTTAAACTGGGGGTAAGTATGTTACGCAATTTGGCCGAGTGTGATTTCTTGCCGGCGTGTTAGGGGATCATGTTCTCGAGGATTTCAACACGGGGAAAATAAGGAAATATTGTTTTATTTCTTGAAGCGCTTTTAGCCTAACTTAGTGATGTAGGGGAAAAGGAAAAACAACCTTTGTTCTTTTACGTACAAAGCTTAGTAACAATGTTTATATTCGGTATTTGCGTTGTTGTAATAAATTTATTTACTACATCATATTGACTTACTCAAAAAAATCAGTTGAACGATTCGACTTTATATTTTTTAATGGTATTGTTTTAGAAGTTGAAGTGAAGTCAGTAACATTTACTTTAAATGAAGGTTTATCGTGTATTCTATTATGACTTCAAACAGAAATGACGAAGACGACGTTTTAATAAAACTTCACAAAAATGGCAAGAACTCCGAATCAATAGAAAACAAAGGGACGACTAATTGGAGTAACAGGCGCGGTCGATCCAGCCAATAAATATACAAATAAAAATATAATAAAACAAGCCTACGCGGCATTCGCTCTAATATAAAACTGCTCGTATATTGTGACGGTATTTACTGTTCCAGTGACTGAGCAAATGCCACACACAGGTTAACATCTGTATTCTGGGTCCATGTTGACAATATTGATTACTAAAACGAGATCAAAAGCTTCAATTCACAGTAAAGGTAACTTACGGCAGAAGGTTCTTTTTCTTGTACTAAATAAACCTTCATCAATTACTTCAAAAAGCACTAATTTGTATCTTATGAATAGCGATATAATAATGGTGTGTTATGTTACTTACTCGTGTAGTAGGTACTATTTCTTTGGTGAACTTCTACTAAATTTGAAAAAACGTCATATACGGGGTATTGACGTTTGAAAAAACTTCAACAAAAATACGCTGTGTTAATAATTTATGTTCATTAAATTGACTCCTTTGTCACTGTGATATTATCATATTCAATAGCAACGACTTCAATCTATAGATAAGAACATTCACAGAGAGAGTATAATTATGTACCAAACAAAACACTATCGATAGTGATAGTGTTTTGTTTTAATGTTGAATTTTGACAAAGAGTATAGTAGGTGCCGTAGTACCGTGGACAGACGTGATAGTCTATACCTATTGGGAATGAGCTAGTCAGGCTATTAATATTGAGTGTTTACCAATGATATTTATCCATAGTTGGAGAATTAACGTAAAGCCCCTGGTATAGTCGCTATTAGTTGCACAATACATTTAATTTTGTTTTGACCCAGGGGTCTTCCGTTAAAATTTATAATTATATTACTATAAAGAAAATCAAATTAGGTTCAAGAAAAAAAAAACTCACAATTAGTTGAAATTATCGATGTTCTGTTATGTACTTTTCCTTGCGGAAAGGCAAATATCTTTCTCTGAGTCTAGTGTTTTTTATATTTTTTTAAATTTATATATGGTAACCATAGTAACTGTTTAATTCATATTGTACATACTCTGTTATTGTGTAATCAGAACACGGTGTTACTTATTAATCTACGATATTGACGTGTAATGTCGGAACCGCACATCAGTGATGAAACAAATTGTTTGTATGGAACATCGCATCTAGTACGCTGGTATAGTAACGTTGTTCAATAGATTGTTTCCATGGCTTTTCGCGGTTAGCGTTCAATATTTATTATGGTTCTTGTTGGTCATGTCAGTAAAAATAGAAAGATATATACATATATATATATCATTATTTTTTCATCCTCTACGATACATATGGATATGGACTGAAAACTTGGCGTATACATATTTAACGAAAACAAAAGAAAAATTCACCAAGGCTTGACTGTGTGGTTTTAAACCCTTGCCTTTTCTTTTACGGAAAAAATTAAAAACAATTAAATGCGTTGAAAGAGTTTCGGTTACGTCTTGATGTAGACTGTATGTAGACTATTATGAGATCTTTATATTAATTAAAATTAATTTCTTGCAGTAGATACCTACTTTGGAGTAAATGATTCTAATTTTCATATTACATGAAAGCCTAAGAGTGCTTACACACGGTGACGTTTAGCAGAGATGCTATCGCGTGTTTTATCTATGCAGACACGCGTGTTTGTAAATGTAGACGATTAGCTACTGCATCGCTGCTAAAAGAGCCGTGTGTAACCGCTCTAATAATACTTAGGTGTTTCTTATCTACAGAATAAGTAGAATGGTAATAAATCAAGTTTAACTTTGAAATTCGTTAATGAAATCCAGTTTCTTATAAGACATAAATAAATTAATTTATATAACCAACAAAGTAAAGTATACCTTCCTAAATAATAGATAAATAAAACAGAATAACAACATAGACGTTGTGAAATAACTCCTATAAGTTTACACCGGCCGGTGAGTGATTCACGTCGAGCTTAGATTTACTGCGTCCGTCCGTCTGTCCGTCCGTCCGCTTGATTTATACATTCACCCACATCACCCACGATAACTAATTAATATCCTATACTTCACTGTCATACGAGTTTCCGATGATCTAGATATTGAATCGTAGGTACGAGTGTGTTTATTTCACAATGAACAATTATAAACAATAATTAAACAAACACATTAAGGTTATCAAGAATAATTTCTAACCGGCTATTTGCAAAATCTCGATAGTAGAGCGTTTTGAAAGTAAAAACTAGATATTTTTCGACGTGACAGACGAATTAACTAAATTTTGCAATGAAGTAATATAAAAACCTAGTCTGAAAGATATTCATTTAAAATATTGCACATGAAGCCAAACACTGCTGAAAAATTATGGAATTAAGAAAATACGATTTGAAAGTTCAAAAAATTGCTGAATAGAACCAAATAAATTTATATTCTCGTTTATAAGTGGATAACTAATGATTATGTATTTACTTAAATAAAAATAATCTCATTTTTCCCAAAAAGATTCATTCATTGTTTTTCAAATCGCGTTTCAATTAAATCATTTTCCCTCAAACAATGCGTTTCTTACTTTCAAGTTACTTTTTTTCAGAAAACCGGTTACTCTTTGTTGTCGTCAAAATGTCTGAAGGTGGCAGAGGCGGTTTAGGCTATTACTTTCCATTCGATGAGACGACTATGTTGAATTAAAGTCTTGATTATCAGATCAATTACAAAGATACAAACTAGGGAATTATCTGTGCTACAAGTAGGTGCCTGAGTAACGAAACGCTGCTGGTTGGCACTATTTTTTATAGCACATACTTCACACTAACACACATTCGCATAATCTCGCGATGCATACATGTTACATTTACTGCACTTACATTTAACTGTCACCGTAGCCATACGGTTACCATGTCCGATTGCACGCACAGGTTCGATTCCCAGAGTGGGAGAAATAAGTGTATGGCCTACATTTATTTCTCTCGTGAGTTTGGGTGTAATTTGTGGTTGTCTATGTGAGTGTCCATGGCACCCGCGACACAGGGTTTCCCTAGTGCGGGGCCATGAGTGTACTGCGTTATTATTATTACAGCACTAGTCGTCTCACGAGCCTTTCTTTATTATGCGAATGCGAGCGTGTGGCTTTCGTGCACACATACAAGACGCGCTGCTACGTTTGTGTGGACTTACCATACCTGTCCTATGTCCTATCATACAATGGTTACAGGCTTGCTCACGTGGTTCTAGTACGGTTGTCCATGCAGGATGCTTCTGGGTAGGTATCACCACTCTATATCTACCGCAAATTGCGATAATTGAAACTGTTTTGTTGCGAATTCAAGAATAGGGAGGATAACGGAATTCCTAAGTGTGATCATGATCTTTTCTTTTAAATAACGCACACACACAAAATAGTCTTGCCAGCTTAATCATAGGCACAGGGATTTTAAGATTTTCTAGGGCCAGTCGCAAAGCTACAGGCCGCGGTGGTAATGATATATTATGTTAGGTGGGTCGTCGTTTGCCGGGTTGTATGAACATAAAAAAAATATCGTACATCAGCCTTTATTTTATTTGATGATAGTATAAAACAGATATCGTACAAGATTAACTATGGAGATGTTGGTTACTAAAAATCCAATAATAAATTGTTTTAGTTCTAGAGCCGCCATAAATAAAGACATCAAATAAAACTAGTGATTGGGACAACATCTAAAACAAAGGCCCATAAACACAAATCATGTTTAAAGATACGTCTCTTCATTTTAGGTACAACTGGTATATGTTTGTATAAATTATATAATTTAACTATTATTGGGTCGTGCTGTAATGGTCTAAATATTTATCGTTACGTGTAGTTTTTGTATTTTACTCCGAAGTCCAGTATATGGAGAACGTCGAATAATACTTTGGGCATAAGCATTCAAATACCCTTACGAATAGCAGACCCAGTAGATCATATATATTATATGTATGATGTATGAGTAGTATAATGAGATAGGTCATTCCAAGGTGATGTATGTGTATAGTAAGTAACATTTTTTTTTAGTAAGTAACCTCAAAAAAAGTAATTATATATAAAGGGCAGACGGGCTGGGATTGGCATATTTGCATATGTTATTTTGAGCAACATAAAGGTGTATTTGGATTGGGCGGGTCACGTTGGCCGGATATATCGCAAGAAGTTGGCTAACGTCGTCACTCATTGGGTGCCCGAGGATGGAAGGCGACGGCGCGTACGGCTGAGAAGAAGTTGGCGGTAGTGGAGCGATCTCGATGGGTTTGACAAGGAATGGTGGTGAAAGACGGGAAGCACTGGAAAATTTTGAGGGAAACCTTTGATCTGTGGTGGGATACAATTGATCAATAAAAAAATATAATACATATTTCTAATTGAAATTTACTGTATTTTGTCCTGCCGCTAGTAATACATTTAAATTATATTTTAACTGCCTCTGTGGCCGGTTACCATGCCGGACTGCCACGCAGAGGTCCTGGGTTCGATTCCCGGGCCGGGAGAATTATTTGTATGGCCTACATTTATTTCTCTCGTGAGGTTGGGTGTAATTTGTCGCTGTCCATGTGTGTGTCCATGGCACCAACGACACAGCGTTTCCCTGTTGCGGGGCTATGAGTGTGTGCGCGTTATTATTATTATCATTATTGCAATTTTTGATTAAATTCTATTCTATTCTGTGTATTTGCGCAAAGTTAATAATAGGACTGACCATACCTCGTTAGTATTGGGTAAATCTCATTAGTAGTAAATAGAAGCTAATATAAACAATTTTTGTATGAAAACATGACGATGACAAACAACTTTATAATATGAAGTCATTGACCAGATCTATGTATTAAGTAAATAAAGTGCATATATCTTGTATATGAGTGCATATTACACTACATAACACGACTTTTATTTCTAAGTTATGAATGTCATTTTCAAATTGGTTCTAACATAAAACCTTTGCTTTCGTGGCCTGGACAACGAAAAGTTGAGTCACACCACTAAAGAAACGTATACATTTTCGAGTTTCTCTTTATTTAAAGGCAAAAGAGTACATTATACTTCAAATCAATAGTATATATAAACGAAATATGGAAAGGAAAATGTGTAGATTTGCGAGATTATGTAAATTCCACTATGTAGCTATGTAAATTGGCAGCTATGTAAATACCACTGCAACAGCCACAAAAACAAAGTTTCAGGGGTATACAGCCCTTTTCTACGTACTTGTTGCTCAATCAGCTCCATCGATCGATTGACAGTTTGAAGCTCAAATTCGAGGCTGGTGAAATACTCGACTACGAGAGGGAGCGCCTTTCCTGGCAGCGTTCAGAATCGAAATTCACCGACTTCTGTGTAGCAATCATGAAAGAAGTAGCAAAAACCTATAAGACGACCGCAAAGCCTCCCTAGTAGGGCGGGGATGATAGAATACAGCTAAGAAGGATAATTAGGGCGTCATGTAGAGAGGAAAAGCAGAGGTTCGGAAAAAGAGCAAATATAAATTTGCTCTTACAATAATTGCCTCCGTGGCCGAACGGTTACCATGCCGGACTGCCACGCAGAGGTCCCAGGTTCGATTTCTGGGCCGGGAGAAATATTCGTATGGCCTACATTTATTTCTCTCGTGAGTTTGGGTGTAATTTGTGGTTGTCTATGTGTGTGTCCATAGCACGCGCGACACAGGGTTTTCTAGTGCGGGGCTATGTTAAGTGTGTGCGTTGTTTCGTTTGTTTCGTTGAAATTAATGAGAATATTATAGGCGACTCGAACTTAGTAAAGACTAAGCTGTAGAGCCTTGAACACCGCCGTAAAGTTGCCAGCCTATCGGTATTGTACAGGACATATCATGGAAAGTGTGCGATGGAATTTGACGCTGTAATTCTGCCTACCCCTTTCCATCATCGGGGGACCAGACGTAGGCTTGGGTTCCACCCTTATGCTGTGGATATTCCAAGGATTCGCACGAAGCGTTACGCTTCCACATTTATATGGTGAACCGCTATGGAGTGGAATTTCCTGCCTTTAGATTTATTCCTTTAACGTTATAACTTGGGCATTTTCAAGGCGAGATTAAATAGGTATTATATATATATGTGCATCTTGTCACCTCATCGTCACTTACCATCAGGTGAGATGGCAGTCAAATGCACACATATATTGTAAAGCAAAAAGAATACATATTTTGTATGGCATAAATGGACAAGTTTCACTTGTTATATGCGGAATTTTTCTTTTGTTATTTTTGCCATAAACTAATATATGAATTAGATAATGTATTTTGAGTAATTTAACCAATAACTTCAAATAAATTTTGATGTGAAGTAAAATATTAATAACTTAATTTATACATGTATCTACCTTGTAGTTATTAATTTATGCATACACTTTTTGCTTAATGCAACATATTCAATATTTTTGTATAGTATAATATACATTTCGTTACAATTGAAAACACAGATGTACAAAAAAACATAACTTTGAAATAATAACCTTATAATTATATAACACAATAATAAACATAACATGGTAAATAACAATAGGGGTAATGAAACAGATAAATAATTTTAAATGAAAAGCTCCGAAAATTAAATATCACAGGACAAAAAAAGATTGACCTATAGTGTAACCCCAATAATTTGCCTGAACCTGATACTTGTTGCCTGTATCATAAATGTTTTGACGCTATACATTTGCAATGAATCTTTACGGTGCGTTTGAATAGGCATCTTCTGGGCGAGCTCGTTCCATCGTAGATCCTATATATGCTAAAGAGTTAGGTAGTGGTCAAGAGCAAGTCCATTTAATTTTAAAAAATGTATAATTGCTTAAAATGACGTCTAGACTGAAACTGATTGGTGATTTGATTATTAGTTACATGTGCAATCTTATACACAAAGATACCTGAGTTTTTCTACAGAAATTGTTACATCTGGGAAGATTGGACAGCCCATTTTATTGACATTAGGAATGTTCACCAAAATGTGTAGCCTTAATTATAATAGAGTCACATGTGATCTTAAGTCAAAAGTATTTTATCACATGAAAATCATAAAAATAATACGGACGAATTAAACATATCATGTTGTTGTATGAAATTTTATAAATCTCCTATTTTAAGCATGAAACGATCGTTCTCGGACTAGTGTTCACTAACTAATTTCCGTGGCAATTTTTATTATTTAAATATGAAATATTTACTGTCCAATATTATTTAATATTCGAGCACTGTATCGTGAAATATTATTTAAAAATTACACGTTAATATATTATGTAATTCAATATTCAAATAATAAAAATTGCCACGGAAATTAGATTGTGAACATTAGTCCGAGAATGACCGAAATTTATCACCAATCATCGTTCGTAGAATCTTTTAACGTCTCTCCTAAAAAGTTGTAATTTTGCGGATGTGATCTTATTACACCAAGGTTGCGATTACACTAAAAACAATTACTGGCATTATATTAAAAAAATAATACTGTCTCCGTATTATATAATATATTGGTTTTTGTTTGAAATTATAACATTAAACATTGGTCAAAATAGACTATATTTATTTATCATAAAAAAATATCAATTAATTTCCTACGTGGAGTCTTTTCCTTCTTGTTTGTCATCATGACTTCTTTCTTGTCATTTGGTGATATGGCTTTATAACACCAATTACTTTGAATATTAAGGAATAATACAATCTCCAGAAACATAAGTTGGTTCTTTTGAAATTATACCATTAAACGTTGACAAAGATAATATTGGCAATAATTTTCCTGAATAATTTATGTTTTGAATAAATACTTCCTACGAAAACCGAATTTGAATTTCGCTAAGTGTGTTGATGCACGTGAATGTGCTATAAAAACTATAAAATTACAGATTATAAAATGCAATAGAAAGACAGACAATAACAATCAGATGATCAGCGATGGACGGGGTCAACAAAAACAGGAACATGAAAATAAAGTGTCCGACACTAAACAGTTTATGGGGGCCGTAAACGAAATGATCGGTTTCGTTCATTCACTCGAAAGCAGTATAGACTGCCAGTAATGAATTCGCCTAATTAGTCCGCGCTAAAGGTTCAAATAAAATTTTAAATGATATACTTTACGCTTTTGGAGCTGCTATCATGAAGTGTCCAATTGATTTTTATTATCAGACAATGCTAATGGTCTATATACACTGCATTATGAATTATTATTTTTTTCTTTTTATTGCTCTACTTTTTCATCTAAATTCAAATGTTAAATCCTCTTTAGGATTGTTTATATTTTACCTGCCTATTTATACTTTACAGTAAGTACTCGCGTATGTACTGACTGTATATTAAGTAAAAATGATTAAAATGACCAAAACATCTATAAATACAAAGTTCAGAACGCTCGAAATGGGTCGCTTTAGACCACTTAGTAACGTTGGGCCACGGTGTGAAACGACTAAGACTCTCTTTGAGTTTGGTGTTTCGAACCATTATAACTAATTATCCAAAAATGTTTGCAAAAATTATGTAAAAATTACAGCAATTCAGTGTCATAGGTAAAAATAAATATCACTTCATGGAATTCATCTAGCTAATAAGAAATAAGAAGCTGGTGAAATTACAGGCACATGGGTCTTGTCAACTTTACGATAAAATTAAATTCATTACGATTAAATGCTCTGAGTAGCACTGCAACTATTATGGACAGGCGTGTCGCTTACTACCAGGCGCACGACTTGCTCGTGCCGTTGCTTGGTATTATAAAAAAAGAAAACAAAAAAAAAATAGAGTACATATATGAGAAAAATCATTAAATTCAAAGGTAAACGACAAAAAATATCCAATTAAAAAATATCTACAAATACTCGTAAACATAGGATTTATTTTTCAACACAATTACGCAGTACCTAATCGTATATTGTAGAATACACATCACATGTGTGAATTCATCAAATCCAACCTATTTTATAAGTTCCACTGCTGGGCTGACGTGAGGTTTTAGGCCTTAGTCCGCCTCACTGGCCCAATGCGGGTTGGGGACATCACACGTTTTCCGAGGGTTGTGAACATTCTTCGATGTGCAGGTTTCAACACGATGTTTTCCTTCACTGAAAATCTCGTGGTAAGTTTCAAATTATATTCTGCACGTGAATTCCGAAAAATTCAGAGGTTGCCTGATCCTGGATTTGGAACCACGGCCTCTGATAGAGATACCGTTAAACCATTCAGCTACCATGGCTTTTTAATTACATACAATTAATTTTCAGTTCAAATATTAACCGCTTCAATTCTTGAATTCATCAAATAACATTCATTATTGTTGCACATGTTTCGTCTTTCCCAATTATTTCCCGCAATGAGGGATAGCATATTATTGGAAAGCTAATCTGAACGCGTTGTTCAAAATTGAATAAAAAGCCGTCGTTGTTTTCCATTTGTGTATTTGTATAGAAACTAATAAAAATATACGTTGACGATCACAGTTCACTTTTTAAAATCGTCTTGGAGGACGATAAAGCTCCGTTTGTATGCATTAAAACATTTTAAAATGTAATAAATAACACCGTTTAACGATGGAGACATGAGCCGCTATTAATCACGAGTTCACGTTAATTCTACTTTTTATTACATGTAAATGAGTGAGGTGGTTTCGGTATCACAATACCACACTTTACCTTTGGTAGGTATTCCACACTTGCCAGGGAGTAAAGGAGGTTGAGTGCAAAACCTTACAAAGGACTGTTTAGCATCGCAAATGGAATAGTATTCTCGAGAAAGGAAATTAAATACAAAATAAAAAAATACCTTCCCTTTCAAATCAACCAGGGTATGAGACAATTTTATACGGGAAACTAAACAAGAAAATTTTTGCCAATAAAGTTCTATTTCTTTTTATGATACCAAATGGTGAAATTATACTATGGCGCACTACTCAAAACACCAAACCAAATTCATATTTACCTTTATTTACTTTTCGATTTCGCTTTCGATAATAAATACAATAACTAAATAAATTGTGATGGAAAACGCAAACACCCACAGTGCGATTTTTTTTATGATACTATTTCACGGGATGTACAAGTAGTGAGGTTGGTGGTAAACGACACGACTGTCCATTGCAGTCGGAGTACCGATTTAGATTGCAAAGATCTGAGGGGCACTGCCACTGCGCCCCTCAACCGCCTGTAATTTCAGCAGAGGTCAGCTACATAACACACTGGACATTATATTGCATTACTAATTTTAAGCACTTTGCACTTTCATGATTCTTATGGCACTTAAAGTTCCTTAGAACATAAATAAAAATTTTGTATAATGTTCATTATATTCATGGCCGCGACCAATGTAGAATTTGAAGTTTCATGCCAAAGA